ATCCTGCATGCCATCTATGTTTACTAATAGCCTGTATTAGTTAATGCTGAACCCTCTCACCGCTCACGTTGATTATTTATTTAATATTATTTAATTTAAATATATATATATATATATGTATACTTTTTATGCGCATATACGATATTTACGATAGTTATTTGTCAATTTTCATCAATTGTTATTATTTATGCATTCATTTGATCGTCTGAAAAATTGTATTTATTATGTTTAATTAATTTATTCATTTCAAATTTCTATTGTTACTCGAAAACGCCTTGAATCTTAATGTTTATTGTTTTCTGTCGATTTTTTTTTTCAGCTATAAGCCCCAAGTATTATAAAATAATAAACGCAATTTGCGACTTTACCATAAAAACTTACTTCAATCCGGAATTTTGATATGTTCTGCAGATGTGGGAATCATTTATTTTATATTATGCTCGTAGAGGGGTCTGAGATGACCTAATCTGCGACAATATATGGATCAAGTCTGATCGAAATTTCAGAGGATGATTCGCAAGGAATTAACGTATGACTTACGATTTATATTTGTAAAAGAAATGCTGATATGGTAAATAAGTAGAATTAATGTTTTCTCTCAACAGCTCGACAATTGCGAACAGTTTGTCATACGGTTCCAAACGCGAATTTGCGTCGAAATCGAAATTGGCAACAACCCATAATTTGTTTTAATATTGCACCAATGTAGGGCCTAAAATGACACATTTATGTTCGAAATGTAAATCATTTTAATTAGAATTTTTGTAAATTTTATTGTGAAATTTCCCCATTCGCATTTCTGTGAAAGCTTCTATTGCTTACTTTTCGTGCATATGCTTAAAGTAGTTTCAAGTATTTTCAAGTATTTCAATTGCTTGGCGAAAGAATTACAGAAAAATTCACGATGGCAAGAAGTTTAACTGCAAATCTATAATGAACTGTAGTCGCAGCTAATATTTCCGGTTTGCTGTTGATATTCATACTCCATTTGCCTGGCAACAGTTGTTGCTGTACAATTGGCGACAAATCAACGCCAATTGCCTTGACCCACCCACAAAATAGCTCGAGAAATGTGTAACAAACCGCAAGCACGTTCCATTGATACAAATATAATAGACATACATATACACAGGCAAATGCCATTGTGCGTGTGTGTTACCCGTGAAAAACCCCGAACTGTATGAGCAGGTGAGTCAGTGGGCTATTAAAATACTACAATTGCGCGGGGAGGTGGAGTAGGCAGAGCTGGCAGCCAAAAGTGCTGCGATTGTATACACACACACACACACACACACACACACACACATGGAGCTGGACTAGCGCCGGCGCCATTGGCGCAGACTGTCATTGATTTACCGTTGCGCTGGTCACACTTCGCTGGCTTCGCAGACTGGATTCTGTCTGGGCATCCTGTGCATTGGGCTGTATCGCTTTAATCGGTAATCGGATCGATCTGCGGTTGGCCGCTGCGCGTGGCTGTCGACGTCTACGTCACCGTTGCCAAATCGCAGCCACGCTCTCATATCTCGCGTCTCGTCGCTCGCCACTCGAGTGTCTCTCTGTGGCTAATTAGAGCTAACTGTTTACCCGAGCGCGTGCCCATTGAGTCAGCAACGGCAGCGACGCAAGCGCTGGCAGCGCTGGCTGGCGTTTTATGAATGAATTCAACGAGCCGCAAGCTGCAATGTGGCAGCGACGCCGGCAGCGGCAACAACGGCAACAACGGCAACAGCAGCAAGGGCAACAGGTGAGCACAAAACGTGAGCGCACGTAAACAGAAAGCAGGTTCTTTCCACTTTTCCACTCACTCACACTTCGTACCGTTCTCACTCTCGCCGCCACGCTGCTCTTGCGCTCACTGAGAGCGGCCGACTGAGCGCGCTGCGAGTGCTGTCATTGGTCCGCTTGGCTGCCGTTAATATATCAGCTGAGCGCAATTCGTACTGTCTGCCCACCAATAGGCAAGGCGACCCACACAAATACAGATACTAGCTACACGCACACACACAAGTAAACACGGGCCACTGTACAGTTGCTCGCTCTCCCTCTTTCTCTCTCTCTCTCTCTCTCTCTCTCTCTCTCTCGCTCGCTCTCTCTCGCTCCCTCTCTCTATGTCTTGCTGGTTTTGACGCCCCAAATGCAGGCACTTGCTGCATGGGATCTGACTCAAGTTCAATTATTGGAATTAAGCTGGGAATTTCAATGCGGCCTTTTTGAACGTTTCGTGCGGGCTACAATAACAAAACACTTCGATATTTTTATCGTATCTGACTCCAATGGATTTTCCAGTCTTTGCCACGACGTCAGAGGGTTAGCTATACTCCTTGGGGAGCGCGCTTTCTGATGTTAAAACCCCAGCTAGCAGTTTTAGTTGGAACAAGAAACTCTTGAAGTAGACTGGCTAGCTCGAATGGCCGTTGGGTAAATAAGCTGCAATAATTATGTGAAATTCGTCGTGCCTTAGATTTGAAACATATTAATATAATTTGAATCATTTTAATTTAGATTTGAAATTAAACTTTGAATTCCGACATCGGGCTTACAAACAATTGCCGAAAGAAAACTGTTTTGATAAATATAAAACTTGAATAAAGTTTATATAACGTATTTACACTAAATAATAAATAGTAAGTACTTACTTCATATTTTGATAGAGTTTTTGAAAGTAACAAATTCTTCAGATCAATAAAAAGGGTGTCTCCTCGCATTCGTTTTTTTAATTGGATTCCCATTTAAGCATTTTCGTAATCATTTCAGACGCATCCACAACGAATTCCAATTGCAACGCTAATTTGGCAAAATAAACAGCAGCGATAACAACAACAACAACAACAATGACAACAACGAAAACAAACAAACAAGCCAATCGACTAACCAACCGTTTCATGCCATTGCCGCCTGTACAGAACACCTGAAACACGGACTCGATGTGAGAATTGCAGTAAAAATCATGATAAAGCGAAACGATTTTACGCATAATCAAAACAGCACTAGCCTCTAAAAACTCACACCTCGCTGCAGTTGTTGCACACCCACAAATTTACACACACACACACACGCACACGCAGTTAACATAGAAAACGCCCCGAAGTAAGGCAAAGCCTGAGGGTTGGGCTCGGGATCGGTTTTGGTTTCGGTTACCGATTTGGTCGGTCTCTGTGTTTGGGACAGGAGCTAAGCAGCGTGTAATGATTATACCCTAGCACAGCGCTCGCAAAGGGTCGATTTGTGCATGGGCAATAGGTAACAACAACGCTTCAGCTCTAGACTGAACGTCTCTGTTGGCCACGAGAAACTATAAATGATAACATAATAATAATTATAATTGTAATTATAAATAAAAAATGCATAAAAGACTTGAATAATAATATTCAAGGAAATTTAAATAAATAAAAGAACATAAAACAGGTTAAAAAATATACACATAAGAAACTGATAAGATATTGAACACCTTAAAATAATAGAGATGTATATTTTTATGAGAAACATCTCGACAAATTTAGTTATAATAAAAATATAGTATCATTTAATATAATAGAAAAATAGAAATGTTTAAAAATTATAGAAACAAAAAATATAATTAAGGGATCAAAAATTATTATCATAAAAAATCCAACAATATAACACATTAGTTTAAAATTAACAAATTTAGAAAGGTTTTAAATAATAGAAAAAAGATTTGTTCAAAAATGATAGAAATGTAATAGGAAATTAAGGCATAAAATTAAAATTCATAGAAACTTATACAATATAATTAACAAACAGATATTCAATCTTTATATGAGACTGTAACAATTACAGGGCATAAATTTAGTCGAGCGTTGCGCGCTGAGCTCGTGCTCGGTTAACCATTGACTGGTCAGCCCCGACCGGTGCGAGGTCGAGGAAGGTGTTCGCCGCTTGGCGTTGTCTGTGGCAATTTGAGCGTATCCTTTCGATTAGATACGGCCGGTAAAAAAAATTACAGCATGACAGCGGACCGGGGACCGCACACAACAGCTCAATTTTGTAGCAAAATATTTTGTTGTCCAGAACGAATCGCAACTAAAACAGTGTGAGCGACTGCGGCGAGGTCAGCACGGGAATGGGTATGGCAATGGCAATGGCAATGGCATCGGGAATGGGAATGGGAATGGGAATATGGGCATTGCACACGGACTCATTGGCAGCCGTCGGATCCTTTCGACGGGGCGTCCTGCCGCGCCTGCGCACTCTCTGTGTGCAGACAGCAGCAGCAGGAGCTCATCAATGCAATAATCGTGTTTGTTGTCCATGTAGATGAAGATGTTTTTGGTGCGAATTGGACACATTCCGATACTGATACAAGCACAGATATGTGCATAGATGCACCCAAGGGACGGCATACAAAGGCCGCTGCCGTCTTGATATATGTACCTCGCAGCGAGTCCTGCGCGTCCTGCGAGTGCTGTGTGTGTGTGTGCGAGTCCTCTGTGTGGCGCGCGGCGAAAATCAAGGCGAGTGCCCCCGCTGCGCAACACGGCTGCTTCCTGCTGCTGCTGCGCGGCCAAGTCAACAATTGCACTTACGGTTAGACGCAGGACTCTCTGGCCCTCTGGCCCTCTGGCTCTCGCCGGCTCCCGGCCATGGGCCCAGCAGTTATGGCCCGTACCCGTACAGCTGTTCGGCCAAACAATGTGGACATAATTTTATAACAAAGTCGCACAAAAAAAAAAAAACAAAACAAAACAGCAACTGAATTTAATTAGCTCGTCAATTGTCCCACATCGCTCGTGATTTTCCAAGTGCCCGAGGTAGATAGGGCAGCATCCTCGAGTCCAGGTCACTTTTGAATTAGGCGACCGCCCAACAATTTAGCTACCAGGTACCGCCACTTAGTTGGGGCGTTTGCCCTAGGTAAGAGCCAGTTTTGCAGTTAAGCAACAAATTGACCTGCTGCCATTTGCAGCTGAGAATTTGGCCAAGCAGCTGTTGAGCATCAGATATAAATATGCAAAACGTGTGCTAAATCAATCAGTGCACTCTAAACTGTTGATTCGAGGTGAGTTGAGTTGCCAGTTGCACGAATTCCCGTAGCCATACCTCAGCGAATACCGAAGACAAATATTTCTCTGCGAAGTGCATATCCTCTTCTGGTGAGTTTTTTATTCGCTAAGCACACATTTTGGGAAGAATACTAAATTTGGCTTCTAAGAAAGGTACAAAAAGTTGAATGCATAATGTGATGTGATTGGCTCTAACTATTCCAGCTATATAGTAATTTGTATTGATTCGATATTTTAATAACTTATATAACTCAAATGATTAGATATGTATATATAGTCTGTTATTTTCAGATGTTTTTCTCATGAGGAGTACAAATAGATAAACGGTCTCTCAATTGAGGCACATCAAATTCTGGACCTAAAGGCGGTCGATGTCCAGAAATCATATACAAATAATAAATGAATCCGCATATCTAAGCTCGCTTTTTATTACTATATCTATCATATATGACAAAATCTTAGCAAAATCTAGTCTAATCGTAAATATAATATATCTTAAATATAATTTAGATAATCTCAGTATATTAATGGGCATAATCTTTTTATTTTAACTTAAAAATATCTAAGTTGAATTAAAAGACTTGTTGGATATTGATCAAACAGCTTTCTTAGACTATTTCTATATATATCATAGATCAAAGATCATGTGAGATGTTAGGCTTATTGATTGGCTGTGTTAACTCTATTTATTTGAATTCAGGAAGTTGAGGGAGTTTGCTGATGAAATGAAGCTCTTCAGACAAGAAAGAGTACGGACACCCAGGGCAAACGAGGCGAGCTCTGCATACTTTGCGGCGTCGAGGCTTCAGCTGTTGCTTAAGCTCGGGCTGATAGGCAGGTAAGTCAGCTTTAGCGCAATTAAGGGCTTCGTTTAATTGGCAAGCCAAGGTCGTCAGCGAGATAGACCGGAGTGTATCTTGCTGGAGAGTGTGCCAGAGACAGAAAGAAAGCAAGAGATAGTGAGAAAGAGAGCTGCGTATAGAAAAAGCGAGCGAGAGAGAGAGAGAGCGAGAGCGTGAAGCAAAAAGAGATGGAGTTAAAGAGTGTAAAAGAGAGAGAGATAGAGAGAGAGGGAGAGCTGTTACCTTGGGGCAGGCGTACGGCCAGGTAGATTGCCTGATTTCTATGAGAGCGCTTTGAGTGAAATCTTTTCATTGGATAAGTGGAAAATGAGCCTGGTGCCTATCAACAGAGCGATGGCGACACGCACACACACACACAGGCGAGCGCCCGAGCAGGGACCGGCTTAAAAAGTGCTCGACTAGCTGGTTGGTCTGCCATTCGTTGCAACTGTGTGTGCGCGCGTGTGTGTGTGTGTGTGTGTGTGTGTAGGATGGATATCAGGTACACACAGGCACAGTCATTGGTAAAGAGCGGGGCAGGTCCAGACAACACTCGATCAGGCCTGACAGGCAGGCAGACAAATGGAAATGGACTGCCAGGCAGCGCTCCTCACGCACACACGCACACACACACATACAGGCACACACAGAGTCAGAGGCCCGACCCGACTCTCGACCCGGCCGGGTCTTCAGTCTTCAGTTTTCTTTTACGTACCGTTCGTTTTTCACATGGTCTTTTGGCTCTGGCTACGACTGACGTCGCGTCGGTCGCTTCGGTTTCGGTTATCGGGTCTCTGGTGTCTGGTCTGTGACTGTTGCTGCTTCTGCTGCTGCCGCTGCTGCTGCTCAACAAAGAAAGCTGGTCGAATTTAGCGCAACTTTTGGTTCAGTTCGGTTTTGTGCCTGGACGTGAACAGTAGTGCACGCGAGAAGTGTTCTTCAGTCTTCCCACAAAGGAAACTAACAGCCAACCAATAACATCAGCAGCGGCATAACGTATATGAAAAGCCATATAGAAAACTTTTGCGTCAAACATTTCTTTTTGTTCAAGTGATTTTTCGTGTGTTAAACCCAAGTGCAACAACATCAAATACAAATACATCAAATAATAACAAGAAACAAACAACAAAACTGGATTATACTGCAAATTGTTAATAACAATTTCGCCTGATCAACTTTTTAACTATAATGCGGTGTGTGTATTAGTTTTGTTTTTACATATATCTATATATATATATAATTATTTAACAAAAATTAACCCTTTGAAAAGATGTCTTAAGAACTTAACTCGAAATGGCATTTGGCAATTGTTGTTAAGTTTCAGTTTTTTAAATATCTTTTGCAATCGCCAGACAATATTTTCTAAAGTTACGAAATTGATTTATAAAATGTTTTCGAAAAAGAAGAACGTAATATTCGATTAGCTACGATATGAAAACTGCGCATGCGCAACGCGCAAGCAATTGCAGAATCGCGTAGAATGCATTGAAAGATCGTAAAAGACTTTCAAATATTTCAAAAAACAAAAAAAAAAATAGAGAAATCAGAGCACAGAACAAACAAATGTGTGTAGCTGGCCGGTTTTGAGATTCCATTCAATATTGTCGATTTAAGAATTGAGTTAGCTGTTATAAATTCAAAGTTTTTGTAAAATATATAAAGCGGAACATTTGAACGCACCAAAAAAATAAAAAAAAAATGTTACAAATTCTAACAAAATTTTTGAGATACAAGCAAGTTGCATTGCTGTTGCATTTGCATTGTTGAAGGATCGATACAAAAAAAAAAAAAAACGTCCTGTTTCAATATTATATAACCCAGCGACAACAATTCTTGCCATGTTAATCACTTGATATTCATTGTGTGTGTGTTTATTTTTTCCTCTTTCTGTTCTCTTTTGCATTTTTGCCCAAAAACACAATATTTTTTTTTTTTATTTTTCTTTTGGAATTTACTGTTACGAAACGCTTTTGCATTTTGGCAATAAACCTTTTTTGGCCCATTGAACACACACGATCAAAAATCCCAATAAAATCATAAAATCTTAAAATTATTAAATATTCATACAAATCATAATAATAACGCAACAAAAATATATATTGTTATATCTACCAAATAGTTGGTTGCCATTGCGCTGCAACCAAAGTTAAAGGCACCAAGACGGCATCGCCAACGGCAATCACCACAAGGACAACGCCAGCAACGGCAGCAGCGCCCCGTATCAGGCAAAGACTTCAGCGTATCGCGCGGCAGGACAATGCGGATATGTGGTCCACTCTGCTGTTGCCACTGCTGCTGCTCCATTTCATCTATATGCATGCCGCACTGGCCATGGCCACGGCCAGCGGCGGTCTCACTGTAATCGAGGGCGCCAGCACCAGCAGCAGCACCAGCTCCACAACCACCAGCACCACCAGCACCACCAGCGCCACCAGCAGCATGGCCCTCTCCACGGCAACCGCTGTGGCCGCCTCTGGTCAACGGAAGCGGCATCGCAAGCGGAATAGCAGCTGGTATGATTATCGCAATTATAACGAGAACACCACAGCGCTCGAGTGGATGAATCCTTGCGGCGGCTCCTACTATACATCATCCGCCACAGAGCGACGTCGCGCCCAGCGGCCCAAGCAGGTAACTAACATTTGGCTTACAGCAGCTCCAGGCTTCATTACTCAATCTCTCTCTCTCTCTCTCTCTCTTTCTCCCTTTCTATCTCTATCTCACTCTCGCTTAGATCTTCAATCAATTGAAGCGCGCTGCCGGCACCGAGTACCGCGAGCTGAACAGCACGCAGGAGCATAAGGGCATCGATATTGGTGATATGCAAGTGTGGTCGCTTCACAAATACAATTACAAGTTTCTGCCCAAGCTGAAGCCCAATTCAACGGTATGTATCTCTTACTCCCTCTTGTTATCAGCCAGCCCCCCTTTCTCCACCTTAATATCACGAAGCTCGCTCATGCGCCATGTTCTCTTTTTCTTTCCCCATCGCTCTCTCTTTCTCTCTCTGGTAGATCGCCCTGAAGCGCTGGTACCGCAACATGCAGACCTATGTGGCAAGCTTTGCCTATTTGCGGCGCGTTCAAGTCAATTGGGATCGGCAGTATTTGAAGCGAGAGTCGTCCGTTGCCAAGGAGCTGAAGAAGCTGTTGCTCAGCTCACGCAGCATGCTCTGCGAGCTGGAGACGGCGGTGAATCGCACCTATCCGGCTCCGGTGGCAGCTCCTGGCCGTGGGGCAGCCAAGCAGCGCCGCTTGATGCAGCTGCCACAAATCTCGCGCAACGACATGAACAGGCGGCTCAAGTTGCGCAGCAAGCGTCGGCCCGGCGCAGCGGCGGAGACAACGACTGAGGCGGCATCAGCGGCGTCGGCAGAGGCAGCAACTACAATCGGTGAGGCGGACTCCATGGATATGCGCTTTGTGAAGCATCATTATTACGAGTTTCTGCGCACCATGTGGCAGCTGCTGCGGCGCGACAGCAAACGGGAGCGCCAGCAGCGGCGTCAGCGACGCCAGCGGCGCCAGCAGCGGCAGCGACAGCAGCAGTCGCCGTTGCAACAGCAACAGCACCAGCAGCGACAGCGACAGCGCCAATGGCAGCAGCAACAGCAGCTGCAGCAACCGCGGCTGCAGCTATCGCTGGCCATGGCTGGCAATCGCAGGGAGTTCAACGAAGTCTCCAAGCCCCAGCTCGATGTGCCCAGAGGCGTCAACGGGCGGCGCGGCAAGCGCCAGCAGCCGCCGCCCTCAGCATCTGCAACAGCGTCAACGTCTGCGTCTGCGTCAGCGTCAACGTCAACGTCAGCAGCAGCAGCAGCAGCAGCAGCAGCAGCAAACCAGCGACAACAGCGCCGCGTGCTGCGCACGTGAAAACTCCACAATAATATTATGTATATTAATCCTAAATGCAACCCTTAGCTCGCCTAGTTTAAGTAAATTATTTGATGGAGTTTGCAAACAAGTTTCTCCAGCTCTTTCTATAGACCCACGCACGCTCCCTCTCGCTCGCTCTCACTCTCTCGCGCTCTCGCTCTCTCTTTTTGTGTATGTTTTAAGTTTTATTAGCTTATACCCAAAAGTTATTTATTTATTGAAATTCAAATTCAAATTCACGGCTTATATTTAAATATAAGATAGTCCTAAGTCCTAGGCTCGCCAGACTCTCACCCTCTCTCTCGCTCTCTCACTCTCAATGTCTCTCTCATCAGCCCAGCAGTTGCCGTTCTAGTCACATATGAGCAACCGCAGCAAAGCAAGCACATTCCATATACATTCCAGATCCTAACATTCCACACACATTACCAAACCCCATTTGACATCCAAACCAGATCGAAAGTATTACAAAGTGTTTTCTCCACTTTTTTTGATTATTTTTTTTTTTAGTTCGTAAGCTAAATTATATATATATATATATTTTTTTATATAGTTAGTGTACGCACTTTTTTTTCTTAGCTATAGATATTGTTTAACTGTGATATAGTCGTGAGTGTTAATCGCAAAATGCTTTGCTAGTTTGTATCTTTTTTTGAATATGAGCATATGAAATTGTAAATAGATAAGTTAAAACACACAC